AAAAAGGCAGCAGTCTCTTGTAATGAACCCCGGGAAAAGTACATAAAAGAAGGGAGTAAGCTCAGGTCCAACAAAGAGACTCTGGTGCTTTTCCATACACCTAAACGACCCTAGAAGGTCGCGCGCTCTAGAGCTTAAACACGAATTTGTATTAAATAATATACCTGGCGCGCAGCTCTGGAGGTTACATACCGGAAAGAGCAAAGAGGACGTAGAAGGAACAATTGAAAATAGAGGAAAACGATGACAGAAACATCGGCAAAACACGTGCCTACCACTACGCCTCATCCCGATCCTCCATAGAAGCGACCGATTCACATTAATTTCCACATAATAATTTCTTGAGTTGAAGTATATTGCGTGTACTTTATACCCACTTGCATTACAATGAAGCCCCTTATTGATGCGGCACCAGACTGGAGTCTTTTATTTCTGAGTACCAAGTGCCTCCTTCCCAAAAACTGTGGAGTTCTCCAAGGGTCTATATTATCTCCTCACCTCTACTCCCTCCACATCGACGACCTACGGTCGCCAAACGAAGGTTTGTTTGTTAAATATGAGGATGATATAGTTGTTGGCCATCCCCTCAAAAGTCAAATACATTTCCAGGTACTGAAAGATGGCCTGGAGCACGTCTCAGCATGATCGTCAGCAAATGGCCTTCTACTTAACGACCGGAGGTCAGTCCAGTGTGTTTTTCGACTGCGATCCTCTTCCAGTGCCGAAACCATTGACATTCTGCCCAACGAGGTATCCTCTTTCCGGTACTTTGGTGTTACTCTGGCATCTAACCTCTCATTTACTCTTCATATTGAAGGCCTTTTTATTAAAATCCTTAAACTTCCATATTCTATCCACCGCTTCCGTTCATATCACACATCGCATCTACACTTTAAAACGGTCAAGCAATTTGCCGATCGCATCCTTATTGAGGTCACTCATCCTCTCCACTCTGAACTAATGGCTGAGAAAGTCGCCCCGTACTATGCGCCTAAGCTTCCGTCATATGTCTTGCCGTACATCGGCATATCAGCACTCT